CAAGGTGAGTCCTTCCTGCATTTGTGACAGGTATACTTTTTGCAGTGCACACAACGCTCAGTGCTGTGGTTCCTGTTGCAGAGATTGCACACCTGGCCTGCTTATAATAATAATCAAAAAATCTAAAAAATAGAGTTTAGCACATATTCCGAAAGTAAGCGTTGTAGTATGAACTAGATGAGGTTATCTATGTGTGCTACAAGTTTTGTGGCACTACAATGTTCTATAGTGTAATTATTGGCTATTATATGCTTACAATAACAATGAATAAATCTCCAAAAATACAGTTTGGCCTATCTTCCCAAAGTAAGAAAAAAAGAATGTTAGAACTGTAAATATACAGTCAAATGTTTATATAACTATTTATAACTATTTATTACTGTTTTTAATGCTGCACTTTAAAATATAAAATTGTCTAGAGCTGTTCTAAACGAAATTTCTTTTTGTTTACACTTGTATATACAAAATGACAAAATAAATCCAATGTAATTCTCCCAGCAAGATAGGAGACTCGCTTTTAGAAAACTACTGTTGTAGCTCACTGTCTGCCTTGCTCTGGTTGCAGAGAGCTGTCTGTTTTGTAGAATAAGTAATCCAACCATTTTCACCATGCTGTCTGCATGTCTGCAGCGGAGGAGAGAGAGGAGAGATCGCTTGAGTTATGTTTCCCCCCAAATATATAATGGTCATTATTGTATAAATATTGTTGCTTTCTAGAGCGTTCCAGCTCATGTAGGTATTTTCATTGTACAGATCAGTTATCATCTGATCGCTGCGCTGGTGGCTCCGCTAAAATCATTGCGGTGATGAAGAAGCACTTAGTTATTTTTACACAAATATGATTCCCCCCCCTTTCAGACTTTAGCTAAAACCGAAACTGAAGGGGGTGGAATGGTTCTCCAGCCACAGCGCTAATGGGGCATTTACATTTGAAAAGGGATTCATAAGTTGTGAAGTACTGTTGGGGTGATTGGAGGCTGATGAAAAATTCTCGTATCTCTGGAATTTCTAGTGTTAACTTCTCCCGGGCAGAGGGATTGGATAGGTCTAAAAGACAGCGTTCTACCTCTCTAAGGTAGTCCTCAATAGTGGATTCAGTGTTACTGGGGTCAAAACGCTCGATGTCGTGGGCGAGGGATTCAAGTTGCCACATTCTCAATCTCCGTTCTGGGGTTGGAGCTGGGCTGTCTGAATCCTCATCTGATAGCTCTAGCCAGCTGCTCTCGTGGTAGGGTAGAAAGCTCTTCTCTGATCTCCTTGAAGGCATGTGAGGCCGCTCATGGTACACTGGTGGGCCTTTTTCTCCGTAGCCATTAGGCCATGGCCGCGACTCAGGATGGTAACGCTAATCGGTGTCCCATGGTTCGCTGTACAGCTGCCTTTGTGGCAAAGGTGTGCCATAGCAGATTGTGCTTTGTGTTTTGTCTGACCTGCTTTTTATTCTATAACTAGGACCTGGCATGCCGCTCAGGTTCATCATGCTCTTCAGTCTGAAGCTGCTCTGCTGGATGGAACTACGCACTACACTACTGAACTTTACCTGCTCCCTCACGTCTGTTCTCAGCTTTGTTCTTGTCAGAGGAGGATCTCTCCTGGTACCCCTTCTATCAACCCTATCTAAAGCAGGTTTCACTTTATTCTCTCTCTTTGGATCCTTTTGCTCCTTCTGGTCCGTCTTCTGACCCTTCATCTGATCCTTCGCTTGACCCTTCATCTGACCCTTTGCTTGACTCTGCGTCCTGCGAGCAGGGAGCAACCCCTCTTTGCATTTCAGGAAATTGGAGGTCGCTTTATTATTCTCCTCTTCTGCCTTTCTTGCCCTTTTCTCAGCTTCTAAGTTCTCTTTCTAATTGTTACTTTTTCTGATACAGCAACACAAGTTGACCAAACATATTTGCGATGAGCATTTCTTTTTCTGGCTTCCTAGTTGAGTCCATAAGTTTCTGAATATCTTTTTCAGAGGCCTCTAGATTGAGACTATTAATGGCGCTGGGTTTGTCTTTTGATAACGAAATCACTGTTAAACAACTCTTGCACACAAAATGATAATGCAGTGTTGGCAAACCTTGCAGAAGTGGTAACGGTTGGCAGCAGCTTTACAATTAAACTTGAAGGTTTTTTTTTTATTCCTGGAGTTTTGATGTTTACCATTCTCCAATTATTAAAACACTTTTTGTCCTCAGCACAGAAAGCAACAGTAAAACAGCATAAAAGAAAACAAGGCTCCTTCTTAACGTTGCTCAGCTGTAATTTCGAAAAGCAACCACCAGAGGGAGGCAGGGTGTCCTCACCTAGGAAATTCCAACTGTGGTTGCAGTGGCACGCTTACGCCATGAGATGGCACCAAAGAGCACTACACAATTTTGATCTCAAAACACTGGGATCAGCTGAGTAGTTGTAATTACACAAGCTACCACTGACCCAGCTTGATGTGACTGTAAGAAACTATGAAATACAAAAATCCACAATCCAATCTCACACCTTTCAGAATAGCAGCAACAAACAAAAAAACAAAGCTGAAGTCCAACAGGAGTAGCGTTATTATCAATTTTAACCAAAAGCAGCCTGGATGATTTATTTGTATTTCATATAGCGAATATTTCAGTCTCAGGCCCACCCAAGGATGCCAATACATTATGCAAAATTATATCCTGCAGATAATGAATAAATTATTAACTACAACTGGGGTTAATTAGTTAATTATTATTTTCTCTATTTTATAATTTTATTGTATTTTATGATTGTGTACAGCACTTTGGTCCTGTTCGGTGTATAAAGTGCTTCATAAATAAAGTTGGTATGGTATGGTATGGTATGGTAATTATTTACCTTATTCAAAATCGGAGGTGAAATCAATTTAGTGTTCTTAGTTGAATAATTGTAGCTCTAATTTACTCACTTACCAGGGTTTCTGGTAAGTGAGTAAATTAGAGCTAATTAGGTTCTGGATGGTTCCTGGATCGGCTGTTAAAACCCAAGTATTCCCACCAATTTCATGGCCTAGGCTAGGTTATCAGCAGAACTATTAATTATCAATCAAAGAACTATTTATCTCTGTCTATTCTATTACCAAAAAAATGTGAATCTCGCCTGTGTTAGGCTATATTGCCACAATTGAGCCAAATCAATTTAAGGAACCATTTCAAATCATTCCCCTTTGTTTTGCACAAAGAGAACATTCTGGAAAACTCCGGCCAAAGGACCCATCAGCTGACAAGAATACAGACCGCAGCAGGAAATACCCCTACGTCATTCAGTTTTTAAAAACCAGAGTGTAAGATCAATCTCCCTCTTCCCCCTGGGTTTAACACCTGTTAGGAGAGGCCCGTTTCATGTGAAATGCTAAAAGAAAGCTAACTGGAAGTAGCTTTTGTTTTCCTGTGTCAAAAGTCACAGATCGCAGTGTCCCATTGTGCATAGCACACGCTTAACTGGGTGAGACGGGGAAATCCGGAGCTTAACGCTGTCTGGATGTTCCCCCCTTTGCGAAGATCATCATGGCCTATCTGCAGGAGGTAGCTTCTGCTTTGATAGCCTTAAGTAAACCTTCCTCGACCTAAAAGCCCATCAAGTTCCTCTGCTGTAGCATCAGACTGACTTAAAGCTCTTCCGAGAACAGACCCCCGGTGAGACGGACCTCACACCGAGCTGAGGCCGAACCACGTCTCCCATCCCCCGCCCCACTTCCTTCCTGGACTGGAAGACGTCTCAAAGTAAAACCCATCCACTTTTCTATTTTGATGCTTTAATGAGGTGCTGCACTCAGGCGGGCAGGTAGATAGGAGAAACTTGAATTAATGCTGATGTTTAATCTGTGGTGGTTATAAGAACTCTGGTTTAGTGGTTGAAATGTGTGTGAAAAGCTGCAAGTGATATTTCTTCCTTATTTTTTTCTATCCTGCTTTCCTTCTCTTTCTGCTTTAAGGTTAGTTTTTAGAGAATTTGCTCACATTCAACCGCACACACAGCCCTGTTTATGCTGCTTTGCTGAACAAACTTCTGCTGCTGTTGCTAATGCATTTTAACCATTTATCATTTTAAGCTGAATGTATTTTATGTTGTTTTAATTGCACTTTTGTTATTATCATAGCTGCTGCTATTCCAAAATGGACATTATTGAATGTATTAACATCTGGCCTATGTTGGAAAAACTCAGAAGCCAGTTAGTCTACCTCGTGTTTATTTTCTAATAGCGTGCAGTGTTTGCATAGATGTTAGATTTCTGTAATCCTGAATTATTAGAATAAAGACATCAGTGTTTAACTTGCAGTTGTTTGTAATTAATATACGGATGGTTTATCACTCAGGCCAGATCCACCCTCTTTTGGTAATAGTTTGAATAAACAGAGAGTTCTTTGATCATTAATAGCAAGTAAAACAAACCAGAAACCATGGAGACTTCAGGGGAAAACAATCACGATGAGGAAGACACAGGAAGACGGATTTGGAGGAAGTTAGATGAGGAATCAGCACTGAGGAACTGCACAAGGAGAGTATTTATGGCTAACTGAACAAAGAGTGGACTAACGAGCAGATTGGGAGCAGGTGTGAAGAGAGCAGTCTAAGGAGCTAGGGAAAAAGGAGACCAACACAAGAGGTCAACAAATAAAAACCTGATAACTGTAATATAACCAGAAAACACAACAAAATAAGAATTAAACTAATAAAACTAGAATACATGGCGTAAAACTGAATACTCAAAAGAAAACAAGACTGTGACATCTTCAAAGTTTGATATTGCATGTTTAAAGTAGAGTCTTATTGAGCTGTTTCAAAGCTTTTCTTCATTTGCAAAAATATATCACATTAAAAGAACTTTAACATGTTGCTACAGGCACTTTTTTTTAAGATATTAACCAAAGGGGTAATTGCTTCATCACATTATTTACATCTCATAGCTCCACCTAGTAGGTTAAATGTTTCCTTTAGACTTCATGTCAAACTAATCGCAGAACCCTGTTTTCTATGTCATTTGTGTTTTTTTATTTTTTCACTAACAGGGATCAGAGGTCACTGAGCAGGTCCTTCACACGGTCAGCAAATCCTCCAGCCTTGAGGAGATTACTCTGGAGAACGCTGGGTTAAAATCGTAAGTTATTCTTCCAAACTGTGTTTATTTGTTAATTGTGTCCTAGCAAAGTCTTAGGATATGAAGTTTTTGAAGTGGGCGTTCTAAAAATGTTGATACATTAGGCAGTAGGAGACTGTTAATATTTGCAAAAGCAGGCTTCCAAAGTTTTTGATTCTCTTTAACAAAAAGGATGGAAAACATTTAAAAAGTATTTTTATTTATTTAGTTAGGTGAATAAATTTGCATTAACGTTCCTGACTAACAGTTATCTTTGAGGAGTTTTCAGCTTTTTCCTCTGCAATCCTAGCCTGACGTAGTCCTACTCAATTCTAGTCAGAATATGAGTCTGATACTGCTCCATAGAGCTGTGATTATGGGGCGTGTTTTGAACGAACCAGGAAAAAAAATGCCTCTGCACTCAATTGGATAGACGTACAACCAATAAGAGCAACGGAGTGAGTGACGTATGTTAAGCAACGCATAGTTGTTGTCAACAAAAATCAAAGCGTGCAGTTTCACGCCTAGAATAAGAAGATGAGCCTTGATCGCGTTTCTCTGTTCCTCTTTTAAAATTAAATTGCTGTCGATATCTTCTAGAACAGACCTAATAGCAGAATCTACTCACCTCAACTCTCCGGCGGCAGCCATTGTTGTTGTCACCCAAGCGCGCTTTGGTCACGAGGTTGATTACTTTACTGTTGATCATCTGTCCATCATAGTATAAAGCCCGCCCTGACAATTTGATTGGATCGCCTGACAGTGGGCGATAATACTCGCGCTACTATGGAGCAGAGCCAGACCGAACTTCCCGACCTCAAACCTTGTGGGCGGGACTAAGTTCGGAATGGCACCCAGGCTACTGCAATCCTGGGTTCTCTCTAGAAAAACCTTCTGTTCGTGATCCAGAAACATGCATGTTAGCCTAATTGGCTACACTAAAATGAGGAATAAGTGTGTAAGTGACTTGTATTGTTTCTTTGCTGCCCTTCGATGGAATTATTTATTGTACCCAGTAGTTGCTCATAATTGTGAAGCAGCTGTCTAAAAAATTAGGATTGCAAACATTTGTCTCCTGCCTGGAACAGTTTGGAGGATCCCAGCAGGAAACAGCTCTGGTTTCTGAACGTTAATGACTTCATATGGTGTAAATTCATTTTTCAGATCTGATCTGTACTAACTACTCATTAATCAAACCTCTATGAATTAAGATATGAAATTAATTCTAAAGAAGTTGGATTATATGAATGCAGGTCTTCATAGCCTTGATTTCTCTATGTGTACAGAGACTTTCCTCAGAAAATGGCCGCCGCCCTATCAGAGAACCCAGCATCTGTTATCCATTCCATTAATTTGGCCCACAACTCACTGGACAACCAAGGTATCAGGAAATAAATCTCAGTGCATGTCTGACTTACTGTGTCTGTTTTAGATGTATTACCTGAGAAGGCAACACATCCTGATCCAAACTAGAGATGCACCAGTGAGAATGCTGCATCGGATATACAATCTTTGGTTTTATTGACCTACCTATTGTGACTTTCAATGAGTAACATTTTAATTTAATTGGAAAAAGACAGAATTCTTTCTTATTTTTTTACTGCTCTGTCACCGATCGATCTTAATCAACCTGATATGAACACACTTTTTATCTGTGCATTTTTTGAAGATAAAGAAAGAAAATAACATACAAAAGAAAACACATACAGCTTTAAGCTCACTAAAACAACTTTTTGCATCATCTGTAAATGCTGCAGGTGTTTCCAGCTTAATCCAGCAGGTTTGTCGCCTCAGCAAGGGACTTCGTCTGCTCAACCTGTCAAAGACTTCTCTTACCTCAAAAGGTAAGCTGTATTTTTACTTCTTTTTTGCTTTGGCTCCAACTACAAAGTTTTGGAAAGTAGCCTGACCAAACTTAGAACCTCAGTAAACCCTGTAGAGAATGAGCTAATTTACCTGCATAGAGTTCATGTTGTGGGTTAAAGAAGTAAAAACCTAAGCTGCACATAATACCCCCTTACTTGTTTTGTAGTCTCAGGTTTTCGGCCAAGTAAAACTCCAGGTTGACTTGTGATGCAGCGCATTGCCCTGCAGGCTGCATGTCTCTGTTGCTGTTCCCTGTGCACAGAGGATAATTTAAATATTGCATTTAATTGCTCTGCTTCCGATAACGTTCACTGATACCTGCTAATGAAAAATCCGTATGGAAGTAAATATGTGCCATCAGAATTTGAATAAAAAATACCTCTGAAATTTGAATGTTGTATATTAGTGCTTACTTTTTCAGTATTAAAATAAATTCAGAATATATTTTTAACCTAAAAAAAATTCAATGTCATTATTTGCACATTAAAAAAAAATTCAGTGTAATTTTTTTTTACATGGTTGCAATTTTCAATTATTAAAAAAATTCACATCCCTATTTCAAAGTGATCAAATTTTCAACATACATATTTTTCACTGTTAAAATTTTCACTGTTAAAAAATTCAGCATATAAGAAATTCAACTTTTCAAAATTCAAATGCAATATTTTCGTTGTCCTCCAATTCAACTTGCTCAAATTCACTGTCTCAAATTCAGCGTCTAAAAATTCGCTGTAGAAATGGCCAAGGTTACTTCAGGTCACAGACATTAGCAATGGATGTCCGATTCCAACATCCACCTAATCACGTGACACAACCGTGATATTGAAGAAGTACCAGTATCACCCAGGCTGGCGACCATGGAGGCGAACTCAAACCCAACAGTGAGTTTAATGCTTTCATATTTCTGTAGTATATTTTATTTTGCGCATGAAGTTTGATACATTATCTTAAAGCCTGATTTAAAACACTGGTTTGGGCCGTTGTTAATCTTACACCTTGTAGTGCCGGCATATTCCTTCTCGCTACCTCCAAGCTAACAATACAGTAGCTGATTAGAGTGGGGTCGGAACTGTTAACAGCCCCTCTTTGAAGCACACAAGGCAGCCATATTAGCTTACTACATTAGCGGTAGCATCTCCTGAAAAATTACGACTTTACTAAGACTGCCTGGAAAAGTGGTATTTCTTTTTGAAATAAAACGGGGGAAATTGGGTCGGGGTGGGGGGGGGGGGGGGCGAGAAGTAATATGCCGGCACTACACGGTGTAAGATTAACAACGGCCCAAACCAGTGTTTTAAATCAGGCTTTAAGATAATGTATCAAACTTAATGTGCAAAATAAAATATACTACAGAAATATGAAAGCATTAAACTCACCGTTGGGTTTGAGTTCGCCTCCATGGTCGCCAGCCTGGGTGATACTGGTACTTCTTCAATATCACGGTTGTGTCACGTGATTAGGTGGATGTTGGAATCGGACATCCATTACTAATGTCTGTGACCTGAAGTAACCTTGGCCATTTTTACAGCGAATTTTTAGACGCTGAATTTGAGACAGTGAATTTGAGCAAGTTGAATTGGAGGACAACGAAAATATTGCATTTGAATTTTGAAAAGTTGAATTTTTTATATGCTGAATTTTTTAACACTGAAATTTTAAACTGTGAAAAATATGTATATTGAAAATTTGATCACTTTGAAACAGGAATGTGAATTTTGTTAATAACTGAAAATTGCAACCATGTAAAAAAAATTACACTGAATTTTTTTTTTTAATATACAAATAATGACATTGAATTTTTTTTAGGTTAAAAATATATTCTGAATTTATTTTTATACTGAAAAAGTAAGCACTAATATACAACATTCAAATTTCAGAGGTATTTTTTATTCAAATTCTGATGGCACATATTTACTTCCATAAATCCGTATAAATAATGTAATAATGTAAATGTTTTGACAGCATTCCCAGCCTCTTCATATCAAAGCCTTTTATCTCCCCTATTTTTTAATCTCTCTGTTTCTCTCTCTCTTGCTCCTCCATCTGCACCCCTCTGTCTCTACTTGTCTCCTTTTCTCAGGTGTGGTGTCTCTCTCTCAGGCTCTCTGCTCCAACAATGAATACTCCAACTCTCTTCTGCACCTGGACCTAAGCAAAAACCCCGGGGTCCTCACAGGGGATGATGCTTCGGTCAGACAGCACAATCCATCTAAACCAGAACACGCTGTTCTCCTTTTCTCCAGCCTAAACTGTCACCCCCCATCTGTCTTTCTATTTGCAGAACCTTTATCTCTTCTTGTCTCAGCCAAACTGCCTGGTCCACTTGGATCTATCATGCACAGACTGTACTGTTGACTCTGTGAGTATAAATGTCAGGATCTGATCAGACATTTCATGTGAAAAGTAGATGCGCTTCTCTCTGTGCCCAGATTAACTATTTCCACCATGTGTCTTATGCAGCTGTTTGGGGCTCTTCTGAGGGGGTGTTGCGCTGATCTTTCCTTTCTCAATCTTTCCAAAAATACGTTCTCTCACAGGTTAGTCATATCACATTACCTAAACAGCTTAACGCCACTTGTAGGAAGATAGCAATGCCTTGTAAAAGTATTCCTGCAGTTTTTCAAATTTGGACCCTGCACATCTGGAGTCTGGAAGCTTTGACTCTAACCGTGATTAGGTGTAGAGCCTTGAACTGAACCAATGTAACAAATTACTTTATAATTAGGGGGATTGTCCATCTGTTCCTCCTCTGGATTTTTCTCTTAACAGATTTTTTTCCAGGATTTCCCTGTGTTTAGCCTAATCAATTTTTTTTCCCGTCAACTCTAACCAGCTTTCCAGCTAATTGGGAAAAGCAACCCACAGCATGATGCTGCCACTCCCATGTTCACTGTTGATAGCGATGAGTTAGTTTTCTACCATAAATGGAGGTTTAAATTTGAGGCCGAAGTTCTGTTTTGGTCTAATCGGATCCACTTCATTTTCCCCATTAGTGCTGCAACTAGCAATTATTTTCACCTAAAGGCATGTTTTACAGTCTTTATACTCCAGTTAATGATTCATCGATAAATTAGTTAAGTTTATTTCAATAATCGATTAATTGTTTCAGCCCTAGTCCTCATGAAGTGTATCAAATGTCATACAGGACTTCCACAGCTTTCCAGTAATAAATATCCTTTTTTGTCTCTCTATAGAGAAAAACTATAAAGAGGAGCACATACAACGCATACACATATGGCGTTGCAAGAACAGAGACTTGTGGAATGCACTATTAATCTTTAGTCTCTTAGTATATTATCTTAACTTTGAATTGTCACTATAACGACCTCTGAACTTCTTTTCTGATTATTTAATGTTCTCTTTGGTCCTGATTCTTAGTGGGCTCCCATATCTTTGTAGGTTTTCAGTAGAGTTACAGAATACCTTGAATTATATTGTTATATCTGTCATGATCTGGCCTGTTTGCTCTCCCTTAATTAGTAATTCCTCTCACCTGCCGTTTTCCCTCCCTGCCTCAATTATAATTTATTCCTCTCACCTGTTTCCTCTGGTTTAAATTCAGTTCAGCCTGAACATTCAGTGCCAGATCATTACGTGTCTTTCTGTTAGCCTGTGTGTAATTTTTATTTCATGGTTCATGTCCTGGATCCCAGCAGCCAGTGGAAAGAGGGTTTTTGTGTTTGTCTCGTCTCCTGATCGTCCACTGTTCCTCCCCCGCGGAGTCCTCTGGGTTTTTGGCTCAAGATGGGGGGAGGTTCAGTTTTTATTCAGTAAGCCTGGCTCCATGGAGGAGACCAGTTTAAAGTCCTGCTTCAAGTTCTGGTTCTGGTGCTACCCTCTTCCACTGAGCCTGCCTGTCTGCACCTGATCCTGTGTGTGACCACCTGGTAATGCTTCTGGTCCCAGTCAGACTCTGAACCCTCCTGTCCTGGAGCTCTGTTAAAGCCTGGAAGCCTGGATCCTGCTACCTGCTCTGTTCCTGCCTAATCTGCAACCTGTTCTGTCTGTTCCTGCCTGATCTGCATCCCTGGCAAGGCAAGGCAAGGCAAATTTATTTGTATAGCACAATTCAGTACAAAGACAATGCAAAGTGCTTTACATGAATAAAATACAGGAAGATAAAACAGAATCAAAGCAAGTAGGAAAAAATAAAAAATAAATAAAATAAAAAAATGCAGAAGAATATTAAAAACAGTTGGATTAAAGAAAATGTGTTTTAGTTTAACTGTTTAACTAGAACAGTCAAAGGCAATCCTAAACAAATGTGTTTTTAGTCTTGATTTAAAGGAACTCAGGCTTTCCGCACTTTTACAGTTTTCTGGAAGTTTGTTCCAGATAAGTGGAGCATAGGAACTAAATGCTGCTTCTCCATGTTTAGTTCTGGTTCTAGGTATGCAGAGCAGGCTGGAGCCAGAAGACCTGAGTGGTCTGGAGGGTTGATACACTGATAGCAAATCTGTGATGTATTTAGGTGCTAAGCCATTCAGAGATTTATAGACTAACAGAAGTATTTTAAAGTCTATTCTCTGAGATACAGGGAGCCAGTGTAAGAACTTTAGAACCGGGGTGATGTGCTCTACTTTCTTAGTCTTAGTGAGGACACGGGCAGCAGCGTTCTGGATCAGCTGCAGCTGTCTGATCCACTTTTTAGGCAGACCTGTGAAAACACCGTTGCAGTAATCAATTCGACTAAAAATAAACGCATGGATTAGTTTTTCCAGATTATGCTGAGACATAAGTCTTTTAATTTTGGAAATGTTCTTCAGGTGATAGAAAGCCAACCTTGTAATTGTCTTTAAATGCTTTTGGAGGTTCAAGTCTGAATCCAGTACTACACCTAGATTTCGGGCCTGATCAGTGGTTACTAGCTGAAGCGACTGAAGCTGTGTGCTAACTTTAGAAGATTATTAATTCAGTTTTGTTTTTATTCAGTTGAAGAAAATTATGGCACATCCAGGCATTGATTTCTTCTAAGCATTTCCTCAGTGCTTGAATTGGTTCATAGTCACCTGGTGACATGGTGATGTAAAGCTGTGTGTCGTCTGCATAGTTATGGTAGCTGATGTTGTTTTTTATTAACTGAGCAAGAGGGAGCATGTAGATATTGAAATTATGCCCTCAAAGGTAACAGAAAAGTGATCGGATAGGGCAATATCAGTAACACTGACTTTAGAAATTTTCAGACCTTTAGTGATGATCAAGTCTAAAATATGTCCCTGTTTGTGCGTTGGTTGTTTAACATGTTGAGTTAAACCAAAGTTTCTAAGTGTGTCACACAGTTCTTTTGCACTTCTGTCTTCAGGGTTGTCAACGTGAAAATTAAAGTCTCCCACAATAATTAAACAGTCATAATCAACGCATATCACAGACAGGAAGTCACTAAAATCATTTAAAAAGTTTGACGTGGACTTAGGAGGCCTGTAAACATTTAGAAACATAGTTCGTACCGGACTCTTTACCTGCAGAGCCAAATGTTCAAAAGAGTCAAATTTTCCCAAAAACACCTTTTTACACTTCAGTGAGTCATTAAACAATGTTGCCACTCCTCCATCTTCCCTTTGCTGTCTGCTCTTGCAAAGAAAATTGTAGTTTGGAGGAGACGACTCCAACAGAATATGTGCATCATTAAGTTCATGTAACCATGTTTCTGTTAAAAACATAACATCAACATTATTGTCAATAATAAAGTCATTAATTAAAAGGGATTTTCCTGACAGAGATCTAATGTTTAATAAAGCCAGTTTATATGAATTAGTGGTTGATGTTGTCTATGTAGCAGGCTGCATCTGACAGTTTATGACTCTTAAGTGTCTGTTCCTGTTTGTTCCCATTTTGTTTTTATTATTTCTGCCACGTATCATCACAGATATTCCATAAGCTCCGGTGTAAGGCCCAAGCTGATGCTGGAAACTGTTATGTCTGATAAGCTTGTTGCCAGGGCCCGGTGTGTATCACAGAGAAGTTATCTGAAGGTCCTGACGTTTCGTGATATGTAGAGGAGGATCTGGGGCTCTGCTGCTTTTAGAAGATGCTGTTTTTTTTCACATAGCTGCGGCTTTCGGAATGGCTATGTGGAGAGGATGTCAACTGTAGGCCAATCTTGAAAACTTTGTTCATGTTATGAGAAAATTTCAGAAAAGGAACATCTGAGCTTTGTGGGGGAGAGGGGGAATTGGGTGCAGTCTGGACTGGTGTCTGTGGGGATGGGGGTTTTTGGTTCTCTTTGTAATTTAAAGGGGAGTCCTCTTTTTGTCCTGCTGAGATCTGGGATGAATCCTCCTGTAGTTCTGACATAGGCTCTTTCTGTGTCATCTTTTTGGCCATCTTTATCTTGGCTTGTTCGGGCTGTACTGGGCTTATCATTTGTTGTTTGGCACTGGTTGAGCTTTGTTTTGGAACAAAGCTGATGGTGCATGGTTCACAGAAAAGAAAATGTTTGATATCAGCCGTTTCGCTCCTGACCTATTTAAAGAGAAACCATCTCTGTTGAACAGATGTCTCCTCTCCCAAAAGATGTTAAAGTTGTCTATAAACGTTACAGTTGTTTGTTTGCATGTTGCACCCAGCCATTTGTTTAACATCAGGACTCTGGAAAACATTTAATCTCCACAATTAATGGGCACGTGAGGGCCGCTGAGAAACACCTTGACATTAAGACCATCAACTAAATTAAGCAGACGAATGTAATCCTCTTTCAGTATTTCTGATTTTCTCAGGGCTGCGTCGCCCAAGGCTTCAGCTTGTATGATGAGTTTTTCCAAGGTCGGGCATTTTTTCATGATCTCTGGAAGGATGTCTGATACATTAGACACCAGGCCATAGTTCAAAGGGGTATAAATCAACACCTCTGTGTTTTTTTTTTTGTTACAGAAATGTTTAATCCCACTTATAGATCCACTGCATAATATCAGGGTCCTTGGCCCTGTGGCTTGTTTTTTCTCTGGTAGCTTAGAGTGAAGATTGTTGACATACCTTTGATTGTCGTTGTGATCCTTCTGGGTCTCATCTTGGAGTGGAGCAAATCTGTTTTGTAACGGAATTCCAACATTTCCAGCAGGTTTACTCCTATCATTTGTTGTGAGAACATCCCGTTTTTGTTTCACTTTTCTTGGGACATCTCTCTGTGGTCTCGGCCAGTTTTCTGTGTCTTCCTTTGGTCTAGCACCCAGAGTGGTCCAGGGATTCTCATTTTACTCTGGGAATTGTTTGTTCGCTGAGTTGCTGGGCTGGTGGTCCCCGTTCGGAATCAGGCAGCGTTGTTTCATTACCATACGCGGCCTTTACATCATAGTTTACTTCAAGTTGGTGGATTTTCAGCTCCATGACAGCTATTTTCTGTAGAAGCTTGTCAAAGTCCTCTGTGCTGAAGGTAGGCATCCCTGATCAGGATCGGGGATGCCTGTGGCTCGCGGACACTGCAGGTGGGAGGGTGGGGCACCGCCCAATCTCAGACACTCTGTAGTGGGAGAAACACAGGTAAGTGACCACGATCATCTGACTGAAGATGATGTTCTCAGTGAGTCACTTACCTGGTTTAGCAGTTCAGTCCATAACCCTTGAGGGGTGCAATCCAGCCGATGGGCTGGAAGCTGACGCAGCTCGCGTGACCCAGAGAGTCCCCAGTGCTGTAGCTCTGTACGAGTTGGGGGAAGCCGATCCTGATCAGGGATGCAGATCAGGCAGGAACAGACAGAACGGGTTGCAGATCTGGCAGGAACAGAACAGGTAGCAGGATCTAGGCTTTAACAGAGCTCTGGGACAGGAAGGTTCAGAGTCTGACTTAGACCAGAAGCATTACCAGGTGGTCATGCACAGGAGCAGACAGGATCAAGTGCAGACAGGCAGGCTCAGTGGAAGAGGGTAGCCGAGACAGGACGTAGAACCGGAACTTGAAGCAGTACTTTAAACTGGTCTCCTCCCTGGAGCCAGGCTTACTGAATAAAAACGGAACCTCCCCCCATATTGAGCCAAAAACCCAGAGGACTCAGCGGGGGAGGAACAGTGGACGATCAGGAGACGAGACAAACACAAAAACCCTCTTTCCACTGGCTGCTGGGATCCAGGACATGAACCATGAAATAAAAATTACAGACAGGCTAACAGAAAGACACGTAATGATCTGGCACTGAATGCTCATGTTGAACTGAATTTAAACCAGAGGAAACAGGTGAGAGGAATAAATTATAATTGAGGCAGGGAGGGAAAACGGCAGGTGAGAGGAATTACTAATTAAGGGAGAGCAAACAGGCCAGTTCATGACAATATCGGAATGTGTAAAACTACAGTTGGAAAAGGCAGTTTACCTGCAGTATTTGGGTGGCTGGAATATTTCAAGAGCTTTGCTTTTACATTTGTCATGATGGGTTTCAGAAAAGCCCAGTATGCAGAACACCACGGAAACAGATGAAAAGTTTAACAGAGTTTATTGAATACAAGCACATGGAATAAACACTGAAACTGGTTCAGGCCTGGGGACAGGTTCACTGGAGTCTGTGAGGATGACAGTTCAGTTAGCTTGGGAGCAGAAGAGTTTGAGTTCGAGAGTATCTGATTGATACCTTGAGGAGTCCGGGTTTGGCTTTGAGAGAGGAACTGTAGGGTCCAGAGACTGTTTTGTTCAGCAGAGTCCAATAACCGCTTCAGCGTCTTACTTCTAACTTGAGGGCAGACCTTGGCTTTGGGTTTCCAACTCAGAGCAGCATGGGAATCCAGAGAAGAGTCTTCAGGTTTGGCTCAGAGGGCAGGCTCGGTAGGTTAAGCTCATCCAGAGCTAACAAAGGAAACAGGTTTCCTGAAAGCAGAGACAAGGAGGGATTAGAATCCAAACTGATCAGAGACAACAAAGATTCTCAGGTGATGCTAGGCTCAGGTGCTAACCAAACTGGATCAACACTGCGGCGTTGAGGCAAGGTCTGAAGGCAGGTTATATACTGGAGGATCCTCTAATGATGAGATGTGCCTCAGGTGTGTTGAAGGCTCAGCTCAGGAGGATCCACGGCGCACTCTGCTGGAGAAAGGTGGAACAGCTCCAGATCCCAACAACATTAAGCTTAAGCTGATTAATTTCAACTAACATTTCAACCTAAAGCTCAAGGAGAGAATTTTGAGTCTTAAAAAGGTTTTTTTCCCCCATCAACATCTTTATTTAGTGATTCAGCAATATTTTTGCATATTCATCCTTTCTCATTTATGCACAACCCTTGTTTCCGACCATGCTGTACTCTTTCTGTTTCCAGAAGATGAACTGTAAAATGTCCAAAGTGATTTTTTTAACAGCATTGGCTTTACGATGGTGTTTGGTCATAGCTGTTCTCTGACAAATTTCTGAGGCCTCCACAGAAAAGCTGGACACTAGGTTTGCATTAAACACAGGGTCACTATTATTTGGTTATTTTGGATACAAGTTGATGCTGCAGTTTTCATTTGGTTGTATCATGGTAAAGAGGGATATTTGCAAAAATAATACAAAAAATAATTTTCATATTTTTTAAAACAAAATCCCAGTAAATTTGTTTATTTAGTTGTAAGGCACTGTTTTTTGTAAGGCACTGTTTTTTTTTATCCCAAATTTATCTGAAATTAACGTCACCACACTTGATCTTCACTGTTTTGCATTGATTTCCCTTCATTTATTTCTCTGATATTTGATTGCTCATATTCATCTCCTCAGTGGGAGATTAAAAATAAATTTCTGCAGACATCATTGGAGCATTTTGGTTTCGTCTTTATATTCTCAACTTGGAGTGATTGTCATCTCCCCCTCTGTGTAGATTGGCTTACCTCACCTCTGCATTACTCCTCTTTGATCTCCTGTTTTCCCCTAATTTCACAGGAAAGTGAAGGATACACTGCCGTTATTACGTCAGTTCTTCAGCTCGGCCTTCAGTCTCACTCATGTCAGCTTTGCCTCTATGAAGTTGCCCCCTGATGTTTTGAGGTATCTGACAAGTCCTCTGCTATTTTCTTACTCAAGTCACAGCCACTTAAATCTTAATTCTCTTGCAAAGAAAGCAGAAAGGCAGCAGATGGAGGTATGAAACTGTACCTGTCAGACCATTCTTTATCTCTCAATTTCTTTCTTCATTATTTTATAATCAGAGCTGTCCTGATGGGGTTGACATCAAATCCTCATATCACTGACCTTTATTTGGACATCAGCAGCTGTGAGGTAGGATCCTCGTCTGTCTTTAGGCAATAGACTGCATGGGTGTTTCCAATGTTGCACTCAGGATTGTTTCTCATATCTCAAATATGAGATACAATTCTTTCTGGAAAATTAATAAAGAAAACATTTCTCTGTTCTGCTTGCCTCTGTTTTAAAATGTGAAACATTTATCAAAGTGTATACTTTAGTAACATTTTCATTGCTTTTACATAAGTATTTAGACGCGAGGCACTCTGGAAAATCGTCCCCATCTGGAGCATTTGCCAGATATGTTTCACATTTGGAAATTCAATTCAATTCCGTTCATTCAAATAGCGCCAATTCACAACATATGTAATCTCAAGGCACTTTACAGTTCACCAGATCATACAGTCAAATTAATTCAAAGTTTTCTATCTAAGGAAAACCATTTGATTGCATTGACTTATTGACTGAAATTCAATCCCTCACACTAAGCATGTTGTAGCGACAGTGGTAACAGGAAGAAACCTTCAGCAGAACCAGGCTCAGTGTGAGCGCCCATCTACCAAGGCTGAATGGGGTTCAAGGAGACAGAAGCAAAGCTACGAAAGGAAACTGTAAAAGACGTCCCCATCCAGGAAAATCACAGCCAGGCAGACCAGTTCCGAGCCAGCTCCCATGTGCTCTCAGCCAGATAGTGCATCCAGCCAGTCCCAGTCAGAGAAATAGGACTACACTGAAAAACAGGGAGATCTCGGACATCTATAAACAAAGGTGTTGATAGCAGCAGCACAGCCGATACTCCTCTCCAGGATGCTGTCACAGCCAAACAGGAACACACAAGGCAAAGCTATTACAAGAAAAAGCAGAGAGAGCATAATGTTAGAGATTGAACTAAAAGCTTCTCCAGAGTGGAAGAATAGAGATGGAATGAAGCAGAATAATGAAATAGGGCTCCCTTTGTCCTCCAGAAGTCTAAGCCTATAGCAGCATAACTATATAGATAGCTCAGGATCACCTGAGCCCCTCTAACTATAAGCTTTATCAAAAAGGAAGGTTTTAAGCCTACCCTTAAAAGTAGAGAGGGTGTCTGCCTCATTGACTAAAACTAGTAGTTGGTTCCACAGGAGAGGAGCCTGATAACGAAAATATCTGCCCCCCATTTTACTTTTAGAAATTCTAGGAACCACTAACCTGCAGATTGAGAGTGAAGTGCTCTGTTAGGAACATAAGGAACAATCATATCTCTGATATAAGATAGAGCTTGGCCATTTAAGGCTTTAAATGTGAGAAGGTGGATTTTAAATATATTTTTTATTTAACAGGAAGCCAATGAAGATAAGCTAGGATATGATCTTTCTTTTGTAATTTTCATCTGAACTCTGGCTGCAGAATTTTGGATAAGCTGAAGGCTTTTAACTACAGTTTGTGGACTTCCTGATTATAAAGAATTACAATAGTTTTTATGTCTTTAACACATGCCTGTAATCTATGTAATGGGTTAGCTTCATCTGGATTTATAGACAAATATAGCTGAGTATCATAAGCATACCAGTGGAAATTAATCCCATGCTGTCTAATAATTCTGCTGACTGGGAGTATATATATAGGACAGAGAATTGCTCCTAGTTCTGATCCCTGTGGTACTCCACAGGTAACCCTTGAGCATGAGGAAGATTTTTCAGTCAAGTCAACAACCAGAAATCGATCAGATAGATAGGATTTAAATTAGTCTAGTGCTGTTCCTTTAATTCCTACAAAATATTCAAGTCTTTGTAAAATAATATTATGACTGTATCAAATGCAGCACTGAGATCTAACAGGACAAGTACAGATGCATGTCAAGATACAAATCCAGTATACTACTCTAAAGTAGGGTGACCATATTTTCATTTGGGAAAACCAGGACACCTTGGAGGGGGGGGGGGGGGGGGGGGGGATATTGAAAGAACAAATGTCTCATCATCGGGATTTGCTCCGTGATCAGAGGAAATGTTACTTGGCGCAGAACAGTTGTGAAAATTTGAAGTTCAGTTTTATATAATAATGCAACTCTGTGAATAGTTCCGTCTGAAATTAATGAAAATAGTTGTTTTAATGGTTATTGAGTCAGATATGTGGCGGTAATGTTTGGTTTATCTAAAGGTTTTAATCTGTTACTGTGTAAATGAGTTTGGCTGTAATTTAAGGACAGATTCTAATAGATCTGCAGAGTGGGAACTATAAATCTGATAGGATTTAAATTTTTTTATTGTTGTTTTGCACAATATGCTTAACTAAGTATTTTTTGTTGTTGAATATTAGAGATTTTGCAGATATATTTTGTAGATACATTGTTTAGATTTACTTATATATTTCTAACCCTTTTATAGAATAGAATAGAAAATCCCTTTATTGTCCCACAATGGGCAAATTTACAGCAGCAAAAAGATTATTGAAAATGGTCACACAAATGAGGACCTTAGAGAAATGTATAAGAATAAGGGAAGAGTTAAAATATAAAAAATAAAATTCTGTAAAGTGTTTTAACAATATAAAACTGGAGAATAAATAACCAATATGCAGCTATGGACATTTTTACAATAATGGATATTTGAAAATAGCAGCAACATCAGAGATGTGCAGAATGACAGCAGCAGGTTATTTAACTGACTAAGGTTTCTATCATTACATTTGATTTGATTTGTTCCTGCTCCCGGTGGTTGGAACCTTTATTCCACTCTGGATTCTTGTGAGTGTAGTCGTTGTTCACTTTAACTTTTTAAAAAATAAATAAATAAACAAACAGTTTTAAAAACCTCGGTATTCATTCTTTTCCTGCTTTGTGTGTCAACTTTCACGGTTGCTAAGCAACAGAGCATACGGCGGTAAAACCCGCCGAAGGGAGGACCTGTTCGAATTTACAGACAGAACTCTTCCGGCCTCCTTATTTTCAAGGACTTCGAAGGATCCAGTCTAGGTAGACCGCGTCCTTGGAGGATGCAGCCCAGGTTTTTGAACAGAGCCTCTGATTAAGAGCAGGGCTCAGGGATTACGTCATACGGAGCGTCGTGCGCAGTGAAATCAGGACATTTCCTCACTTTCTAAAAAAAACCTGGGACGCCCGGGACAGGACGTGTAATACGGATATGTCCCGGGAAATACGGACATTTGGTCACCCTACTCTAAAGCCAACTGAAAATCTTTAAAAAGTTAATTATGGTGTAAGTGGTCGAACACTTGTTTGGCAACTACTTTCTCAGCAATTTTAGATAAGAAAGGAAGATTGGATATAGGTCTATAATTCGCCAAGTCATCTGAGTCAACAGATAGTTTCTTAAGTAAAGGTTTAATTACAGCATCCTTAAAAGCCTTTGATAAATATCCCTGTAACAGAGACAGATTAATCACATCTAAAATGGAGGACGAGATCAAACTAAACATTTCCTTAAATAACCTGGTTGAAACTGGTCTAACATACAAGTTGAAGGCTTAGATGAAGACAATAGTTTTTCTAACCCTGAAAACTCTGAAATCGTAGTTAGAGGAGTGCTAATGATCTTGTTTTTAATAAGATCAATCTTATTTACAAAGAATCTCATAAAATCATTCCCGCCAAGAGCAGGTGGGATGGATGGTTCAATGGAGCTATGGCTCTGGGTGAGTTTAGCAACTGTATTAAAAAGATATCTAGAATTATTCTTATTCTCCTTTATTAATGAGGAGAAATATGCTGCTCTTGCCTTACAAAGCGTCCTCTTATACAGCAGTAAACTATTTTTTCCAGACTAGGTAGGATTCCCGTAGGCCTGTGGAGCGAAATTTTGTCTCCAGTTTCCTAGTATTTGGCTTCAGAATGCGCAGCTCTGCATTAAACCAAGGAGCCACATTTCTATTTTTAACATTTTTCTTTTTCAAAGGGGCTGTATTGTCTAAGGCAGTATGCAGAGAACTAGCAACCACATCAACAAAATCATCAACCTGTGAAGGGCAATAAACTAAGTTTTTGCACTCTGCAGCACTGCTCAGCGACACAGAGGAGAGAGAAATTTAAAAAAGTTCCTTTTAAATTCATAACTACACTATCTGATTATGATCTGCTGAAGTGAAACTTTTTTGGGGAGGAGAACTCTGTTAAAGGTAATCTTAAAGGTTAGTAAAAAGTGGTTAGAGAGGAAAGGGTTGTGAGGAAATACTGTTATTTCTTCCTATTCTATGCTATATGTCAGCACAAGGTCCAAAGTAAGCGGATTAGAATGTGTGGGACTATTCACATTGTGAACAAAGCCAATAGCATCTAAGATAGCATTAAAGGCTGCTCTTAAGCTATCACCTTTAATGTCCACATGGATGTTAAAATCCCCGACTATGATGACCCTGTCAGTATTTAACACTAACATGCAAGGAACTCTCATCTAAAAATTCAGAGTAAGCTCCTGGTGGACACCACAAAGCTAAAAAAGTAGAGGTTTTCTTGCTTTGCAGTTTGGATGAGGGAAACTAAGGGTTAAATCTTCAAAAGATTTCTAATTATTTACTACCTTTGGAGTAATCAGTAAATCAGACCTAAAGACTGCTGCCACTCCTCCTCCTCGACAGGAACTTCTGGGTATGTGAAAATGTAAATAAATAGAAGGAGTTGCCTCAATTATGCTCACATAATACTCTTACCGCAGCCAAGTTTCTGTAAGGCAACATAAATCAATGTGATTATCACAAATCAAGTCATTCCCTAGCAGACTTTTTGAGGAAAGAGATCATATGTTAAATAAACGTCATCTGATCGTTTTAAACTTTTTCCCTATGTGTGCTGTATAATGTAAGACATACTGTACACTGCATGAAAAGTGGGATTTTCGTCAATGTGCAGCACTGTAGATTGTCGTGGAACTTCAGGTTAGCGGCAGTTTACGGCACTTTGCAGGCTTCGCCGAAAACTCCCATAAATTGTCAGAAATTGACGTGGACTTTCTTAGGCAGTGTTCCCGCCATGCCTCCCCCCCATGGAATTCTAGGGGAGTCTTTAACATGTAAATGAACATGCTGTGAGCTATACAAATGCAAATCAGGGTTGCAGGGGGGGGGGTTTACTCCAAGTGACATTTTTCTAAAAGGTAAGAAAATCTCTGATACAAAGAGATCAGGCTCAGTATAGCCTCTTACATTTGAGCTTGAATTGATTTATTTAATGAAAGTATAGAGACCAAAACAGATCTTTAGCTGACAGAGCAATACATTTAGAGCAGTAATTATTTTAAAAAAAATTGCATTTAAGATAAAAAAAAAAATGTTGTCTGTCAATATGCTCAATTCACAATTACTTAAGTGGAAAAGTTTCAAGAAATGAGTCTGAGATGATTCACTTTATAACATGGCGCATTATCCTGTTGGAAGTAGCCATCAGAAGATTGGTACACTGTGGTCATAAGGTTCGGCCAAGTCAAGATCCGCAATTGCAATTGCACCAAACAGGAAAACGAACATCGACAAATTCCGGTTCGTCAAATTAAAATATAGCAGCAACAGATCGGTGACTAGAAATTATAGCACAATTCTTATATATATAAAAAAAAAAAAATAACACCGTTTATTTAAATGATTGGATCCAAACGATTGGTTATTCACCAATGAGGAAGCAGATTTCTCATCTCCATCAAAATATTTATTTTATACCGAGGGACTTAAACTTTAATCAAATCCATTCAAAAGAAACTTCTTATTACAGGAATGAAAAGAGATGCTGAGTTTGGGAGAAGAGAACAAGTTCAATCAAAAAAAGCAGTTTTGAATTATCCTTATCCCCGTTACAAAAATATATATGTATATATTTGGGCAGAAACTGAACATATGCTGGATGATGGTGGGATTTTTTTAATATGCCATATTAAATTAAGCGCTCACAGGGTTCATACAGGAATGAGTGACTCTAATTTAATTCTATTTTAATGCTATTAGAAACGATTTTAATGCCATCAACAAGAACCATGTACAAAGGTTATTAGTGTACATGAGATATGAAGGAGCTGTAAGCAGAGTTCCATGACTCCTGTATGTATGTAAACACACACACACACACACATATATACGTATATATATATATCCTCTAGCTTTTTCTCCGCCTGGAGCGATATATCTGATGAAATTGTTTTTATAAGCATTTTTCATTAAAGAATTATGAATACTTCGATAAACATATTTAAATAATTTTAGTGCCAATTAAGGCCTTGATTAAAAAAAAGAATGAATGAATTGTAATTATTTTTATTGATCCGCGGAAACCCTGGTTCATCTCGCGCATGCTCTCTACAGTGGAGGATGTATGCAATACGCTTTTCAAATAAAAAACAAAATCCTACTTTAAATATCAAAATGTACGGTTACCTGCTGGAACAAGTGAAAGTAGTGAGATATTTAGGTGTGTGGATGGACTATAAATTAAGTTTTGGAGTTCATATTCAGAAATTAATAGAAAAATGCAAAAAAGGAATAAATGTGTTAAGATGCTTGTCAGGAGCTGATTGGGGAGCAAGCTGTCAGTCTTTGAAGAGAATTTATTATGCAGTGATTAGGTCAAACATAGATTATGGTAGTATAGTTTATAGCTCTGCGAATAAAACCTTACTTAATAAGATAGAAGTTATACAAAATCAGGCTTTACGTATTTGTTGTGGAGCATTTAGATCATCTCCAGTAGTATCATAGTTGAATTGGGAGAAATGCCACTTGAACAACGAAGGACTCAACTGAGAATGAGATATTGGGCTAGTGTAAAAGGACATAAAGAAAATCATCTAGTCAGACTTCTTCTGAACGATTGTTGGGAATATGAATATAACGAAATACAAAGCTTTGGATGGGTAGTAAAGAAAGAGGCAAGCAGTTTGAATTTGAAAGATTATGTAATAACCCTAACTGTTCCAATACCGGCAATTCCCCCTTGGATGTTTTCTACACCAATGATCGATTTACAAATACAAAAAATAATGAATAAACGGGGGAAAAATACACCAACTGATATCATAGTACAACAACATTTAAGTAAAGAATATTATTCAGTTCTACAGGTATATACAGATGGGTCTAAGGAGCCAGAGTCTGGAAGAACAGCAGCAGCAGTATACATTCTGACATTCAAAATAAAAATTGCAAAAAGAATATCTAATCATGTGTCAGTATTTACAACTGAAGTATTAGCTATCATATTAGCACTACAGTGGATCGAAGAAGTTCAACCACTAAGAACTGTAATATGTACAGACTAAATGGCTACGCTAAATAGTCTTCTAAGTGGAAAATCTGAAACTAGGCAAGATTTAATATTTGAAGTATTGCAAAGTCTATTTAGAATAAGGCAGTTAAAAATACTAGTATACTTTCTCTGGGTGCCAGCACATGTGGGTGTAGATGGAAATGAGAAAGCGGACAAGCTAGCAAAGAAAGCATTAAAGGGATAGTTCGGTATTTTTGACATGAATCTGTATGGCATCCCCATCACCAGTGGCATGCAATCACACTGACTTACCCCTGGCAGCGTCCCTCAACAACAGCCATGTCTCCCTCCGCCTAGCTGGGCGGAGGGAGACATGGCTGTTGTCAGGTTCTCGCTGTCAGAATGACGGCGCGCACTGATACGAACAGAGAGAAAATAGGACCAAGTGATAACGACGTGTGACTTTTTCCACTACAATGTTTTTGGGATGCAAAAATATCGCTCTTTTGAACACATAATATTTTGGGAAGAGAAAAGTTTTATTTCGCCGTTCCTAAAAACCTGCCGGACTACTTTCGGCTTGACCAAAACTGGACGATAACTCTGCTCACAGGACGCTGCCAGGGGTAAGTCAGTGTGATTGCATGCCACTGGTGATGGGGATGCCATACAGATTCATGTCAAAAATACCGAACTATCCCTTTTAAATCATCAGCAAATAGAAATGAATGTATTTTTAAGTAAATCAGAAATGAAAACATTGATTACAATTGAAACTCGAAAGAAATGGCAAACGATATGGAATAATGAGTCAAAAGGAAGACATTTGTATCAGATTCAAAAGTTTATTGGAAAGGAGAGGAAAAGATATGGAAATAGGAAAAAATATATAATTATTTCAAGGCTAAGAATAGGTCACACAGCATTAAACTACAGTCTTTTTAAAATAGGGAAACATGAAACAGGAAATTGTGACAAATGCGGAGATCCAGAAACAGTACAACATATTATTTTTGAGTGTACTGCGTATGTAAAGGAGAGAATGAAGTTCATACAAGAGTTGAGAAAAAAAGGGATTAATGGGAATTCAATAAAAGCATTGTTAGGAAACGAGATAAGACAAACAAGAGTTAATGAAATATTATTCAAATATCTAAAAGATACAGGAACAATTAATAGGATTTAGTTATAGGATTCTTTTTTTTTGGGGGGGGGGTATAGTAGCCTGACGTAGTCCGACTCAATTCTAGTCAGAATATGAGTCTGATACTGCTCCATAGAGCTGTGATTATGGGGCATGTTTCGAACGAACCAGGAAAAAAAATGCCTCTGCACTCAATTGGATAGACCTACAACCAATAAGAGCAACGGAGTGCGTGACGTATGTTAAGCGAGGCATAGTTGTTGTCAACAAAAATCAAAGCATGCAGTTGCACGCCTATAATAAGAAGATGAGACTTGAACGCGTTTCTCTGTTCCTCTTTTAAAATTAATTTGCTGTCAATATCTTCTAGAACAGACCTAATAGCAGAATCTACTCACCTCAACTCTCCAGCGGCAGCCATTATTGTTGTCACCCAAGCGCGCATTGGTCACGTGGTTGATTACGTTACTGTTGTTCATCTGTCCATCATCGTATAAAGCCCGCCCTGACAATTTGATTGGATCGCCTGACAGTGGGCGATAATACTCGCGCTACTATGGAGCAGAACCAGCCCGAACTTCCCCGACCTCAAACTTTGTGGGCGGGACTAAGTTCGGAATGGCACCCAGGCTAGGGTTATAGCGCAGTCTTCCAAAATTGTGCACTCCACACTCCAGATCAGTAGGTGGCGGAAATGCACCTTTTACGTTGGCCTGCCAATCCGCCATAAAACAACAGAAGAAGAAGAAGAAGAAGAATGTATGCTTTGCTTTGTGCAGCCGGTCTAGAGCGGAGTATGTGGGATTTCGGGGTAAAACTCCTCTTGGACGCGATGGCGACTCTGCATCGAACAAGACGAACTCAAAGAAGAGAAGCTAGCGGTAAATATATGTTCGATTACTGCCTGCTAAGCTAAAAGCAGCCTAGCCTAAGCTACGGCTAATAGCAGCCTAGCCTAAAGCTACGGCTAATGGTAGCCTTGCAAGAACAAGCTTTATTAAAGTGCATTTTTTGTGATTCACAGGAAGCAGTACGCCGTCTTCACAACTCGGAGACTAATTGCAGATGCTATGAACCGGAGCAAGGGTAAGATTTAAAGAATATGCTTTCATTCTGCGGTAAAAGGAAATGGATACGGATGGATACCGATCATAGCTGTACATTTTGTTTTCACAGACTACTGTCGCCTCACAATGAGGCGGTGACCTCCTATTTGCTCGGAGTCATATCAGCAAGTCCAGATTTGCACGATGTTGATAAAGACGACATTGTGTGTAAGTGACTTGTTTTAATGTTTTCTCCTTCCTTGTTACTGTGACTTGCGTTTGATTTTTTATTCATACCACTCTCATTTAATTGTTTTCCAGCTGCCTGAAAGACGTATTTTGAGACGGTACGCAGGAGCTTCAGATATACGCTGCCAGCCAACTCGTTGCTTGCGGAGGCTGCCAAGAAATCTGCTCGGAGTCGGGCCAGAAGAAAGAGGGTAAGACTTTATTTGGTGACTATTTTTCAGGTGCATTGATAGATGTGTTGTGTCCATACGCAGTGCGCTGATTCATTGTTTTTTTTTTTTCAGCTGCTGAAAGCGAGGCAGAGTGTGCTAGCAGATGAGGAAGTGGAACTCTGGAAGTCCGCCACCGTCGGCCTCATGTCCGACGAAGAAGATGGCGTCGTTGGCGGTGTCTCTGGATGGATTGTACGGTCGCCGCCATTTCGTAGGCCGGATCTCACTGAATTCTGTGTTAAGCTGCAGTCCCGGTTAGAAGCGATGCCTTAGTACAGGGCCACGCACAGTAGGCGTCTGCACATCGGACCTGCCTCGGAGGGAATGCTGCCTGTTACCTCCAACCCCGAGGAAGCAAACGGACCGTTCACGGAGTTGTAATTTTTAGATACGCATGTGTTTGGATACGCGTTGTATATAGTTGTGTGTGTTTTAATAAAGCTCTTTCTTTGCATAAACACCTTCCTGGCAAATGTTCATTTCCTGTATAAATTCATTCATGTCCTTGATGGTAGCCTAATAATTGTGTAGTAGTGTAGGATAACATAAATACACAGCATATGAATGAATAAATATATGAATAAATAAATATATGAATGAATAAATATATATTCATAAATATATATATGTAAATTTATATGTAAATTAGTGCTGTCAATCGATTAAAATTTTTTAATCGCGATTAATCGCATCAATGCCTGAGTTAACTCGCGATTAATCGCATTTTAATCGCAAATTTTTTTTCTGATTGAAAATCATTTAAATACTCTCGATGACATACAAAAAATACATACAGGCTAGGTTTGTGCCAATGTTCTTTTTTTAAAATGAAAACAGGTCACAGACACTGATTTATGCCATAGAAACATATGGCAAGAAGATGGGGAGGCATGTAGCAAAAAATAACAAATATGTAGCCAAAAAAAAGGCCCTGAAAACAGGCTGATGTAAAAGACAGTCTTTACAGTTAATACAGTCTTTTGAACAAAGACAAGCATTTTACCCTACTGCTATAAAATGTAGTACAGTTAACATTAGATGTTAATTAACCAAGGTAATAATGAACAATTTTCAATCAATACATCAAAATCAATAGACCGACATCACTAGATGGAGGTAGTTTATGCTCTAGAAAGTTACTTTTCAGCCTCTTAACAAAAATGAGAACACACACACACCCACCCACCCACACACAGACACACCCACCCACACACCCACACACACGATACCGACCTGTGGCGTACACAGACAGCAAGAGTGCCGTAGCAGATTCCATTTCACCTCAGTAATCTGTTTTCTCAGCATATTTCAGGTTGCTACTAGTTACCAGACACTCAACTTGTTTGTTGGTGGTGGGGCTTAAAGAAAAGGCACTAGCACTACCCAGTGTATGAGCGTCTTTTTCCCTTGAGGAGCTCCGCTCTCGAAGCCTATGGAAAATGCATAGACTGGGGGAAAATAGCCCCGCCTTCCCGCAGGCTGCAGCGGGATGTACTTGGAAAATTGTACCATAAAACCACATAGCGTTAATCTCACGTTAAAAAAATTATCGCCATTAAAATGGCCTCACGTTAACGCAATAATTTTGACAGCACTAATGTAAATATATATATATGCCAACCAATCACGAGCGACTTTACTTGTTTAAAAAGAAGTGGTTCCGTCCAATACTCAGTAAGAAAATTAAAGCCTGGCGTGGCCACGTGTGGTTTTGCTGGCAATCACGAGCGATTTCACTTGTTTGAGAATAGTGGTTTCAGCCAATACTGAGTAGGTTATTCAAGCCAGACCTGGCCAGCCGCGCGGGTTTGCTGCATTCATATGCTAATTAGGGCCATTAGTACAGCTGATCGCTCTCCACATACGTCAGAGTCCGTTTCCGACAATTTGTGGCAAGACAAACGCGGACAAGCACGGGTTGCAAGTTGTCGGAAACTGACGAAAATCAGGGAGATCTGCGGGAGTTTACGGGGACGAAAATCTCACTTTTCATGCAGTGATAGGAAAAGATTCCACATGTGTAGTATTTCCCAAATATGAAAAACAAGGGAAATATTCAATTAGAAACGCACCTTGGAATTATATTTTGCAGTGAAGCTTATTTTTTCACATTTCAATTTGTAATAATTAGATCCTGTAGTAATATTTAGAAACCATAAACCTAACTCTTGTATTAGGAAATGTTTATTATGAGGTTATGTGACTTATTTCTTTTTCCCCACAAGTAAAACACGTTTTTGTGATATGTTATACCTTTTTATATAGGTACATTCCTGTAATGAATTAGAATAATATTTAATATTTTTATTTCAGTAACAACTTATGTGAGACATGTGAGACATACCAATCAATTTGGGGAAAGGAGACACATTCAGCAGAATCTTTAAATCCTATTGGCTGAAGCGGCATCTAATGCCTACCTAAAGACGTTTGGTTTTAGCCAGTCATGGTAAAAATAGAATAGCCGCAAATGCGATGAGAATCCACAATAACTTTTACACTCTTGCTGTTCCTCTTTTAAATTTAAAATCCGTGGTTTTGATAAAATGCGATGACAGCAATTACCTATAAGTCCTCCTGTGCTGCCATGTTTATTTTAATTTAGCCATAACACTGCAGTTTGATTGGCTGACCCACTTTAGGTCAGCCTCAAACAGTTGAAGCAGGAAAGGAACATGATGGATTTCGTAAAAATACTGCCTGAGTTCAGCTTTTGCAGGCAAGATTACCTGTATTTTTCCTGCCTTGGCTTTCCATTTGAAAAAACAAGAGTGCAGATGTTTTTCAATCTGTAATAAAACAGTATGGAAAATTGTTTATGAATTTTATTTTAAGTTTCCATCTTCGCTCTTAATAAATGATACATAGTGAATATATGAGACAAGTTGATAAATAATACATTAGTTAGCTCAGTAAAACATTCATAAGATCAAAGTTTTTAGTAACTCTAAAAAGTGCTTTTTTATTAGAACCATCCTCAAAGACATAAAGCTGGATAACGTTCATTCATGTCTGGCTTATGTTGGCTCTGTGTTTCTGCTCAGCTGAGGTCTGCAGGAGCGGCTGTAATCCAGGAATTTTTCCCCCGGGTCTCCTCCATTGCGACGTTGGATATTACCGACAACGGTACAATGAAGCGTTGCAGCTGTGCATCCTGCTGTGACCTTAGCTTTTTGTCCCTTTTAAGGAGAGCACTGAACACCCTGCTGATGGATCACGCCACACTAAACCCTGTGTATTTGTGTGCCTGTGTCTTGACAGGCCTCGATGCAGACTTGCTCACAGTGCTGCCTGCCATTTCAAGACACCCTTCCCTAAAACACCTTCATCTGGGCAAGAACTTCAACATCAAAAACAGGTGCTGCCTGCGCTCCATTTCACGCTGTACTGCAGTTATTTATGGCTGTTCTGTGTTTGTGAGGATATGTGCTGCAAATGTCAGCTTGAATAAAGAGATCTTTAATTTTAAGACTTTTTTTAAGCAGCTGCCATTTTTAGGCAGGCAGCTCAGGAGCAGTAAAAAATTAACTTGCACCCTCCACGTTTGTGTCTTTCTATCCATGGTCTGTGTCTGCAGGGTTCTGGATGAAGTCTTGCAGAAGCTGGTTTCACTCATCCAGGAGGAGGAATGTGTGAGTGATCACCCAGGATCTCAAACATTCTGTTACATTCATACATCAGGTTATTTGACCCTGTTTGACATAAGTTCAGATCAGTTACATCAATTTTAAAACATACGTTTAATTAAAGTATACTTTCCTTTGCAGTTAAATCATTTTACTTGATTTATCTTTAATTTATTATGTTTCACAGTGTGATGATTTATTGCTCCAGCTCAGTTAACATTGTAGACATAGTTTCTACATCACTGCTCACTGTTTTTTAATCTTTAATCTTTAGTCTCTTTAGTGTGAGCACTGCTTTACACTATGTGTGAGCATAGTGTAAATGATTTATGTATGCAGCATGTAAAGTCATGTTTGCAAGATTTCACATCAATATGCAGTAAAATTCACTATTCCATGCTTCAACTTCTAATGTTCCCTATCAGGTTTTTTTTTTTTTTCTCAGCTTTGTTTTTTGTGCCCTTGAACCTTGCATGATTTTTTATTGTTTTCCTCCTCTGCCCCTGTAGGCCCTGCAATCTCTCTTCCTGGGGGACTCACGGTTGCGCTCCAGGGGAACTGTACTGGTCAATGCTTTAGGTAGCAACACCTGCCTTAGAAAAGTGGACCTGAGTGGAAATAACATGGATGACATTGGAGCCAAGATGCTTAGCAAAGCCCTGCAGATCAACACAACACTCAGGTGAAGGAAACAATGTAGAAAAAATTTTTGCTCCTGTGTTTTTACAGTGCTTGCAGTATATGGTGCCTTGCTGGGTTTCTTAACCATAGAAAGGTTTTTTTTATTATAAATTGTCACATTTTACAACCACAACCTTCCCAAAGCAGTGCATGGTGAAGTACATTTTTTATAAGGCTGGTCCCTTATTTAGCTCCATTGAGCTGCCATACTCTTACCAGTTCTCCTATCTGTTTTAAAGAAAAGCATTCCCACTGCATGATAATGCCACAAGTATAGGTCAACTTAAGGATTGTGAGTTCAGCTTGATGATTATTATAAGTTTTCTTTCACAAATAGAGTTTTACATGTAGAGTAAATAACTCCTTTGTCATGTGATTTTTGATTAGATGTCCATCTTCAACATGTTTGCTGTGTTCCTAGCATAGTTTATGAGAATCTGAAAAGTGGACCTCAGAGGGCTTTCTTTAATGACGCCCTTTCATAACTTCACTTCATCAATGGGCGATATGTAAAGTGCATGAATAAAATATGTACTTTATGATTCTTTCCTCAAAGCCGAGTTACTTTAGGTCTCTTGGCTAATCTCCTGGTTAAGGCTCAGTGTTCATACAACTGATTTACTTCAGGAGTCAGTAACTATAACAATCCAAAGAGACTAAACAATATTTGTCCGAAGCCACAACACCAACATGGTCTTTTAGCAACAATTATGCTTCTACTTCTAGTAGAATCTTCGAGTCTTTAACATCAGAGACTGAATAAAATGTTTTGTTTAAAAATTCAAGCATTCACAGAAAATATTGAGATAAAATCATGAAATCTTAAATGCAACAAAAATAAAAGTCCACAAAGTTTAAACTTTGTAGGGCCAACGTGCAGCTAAATCATTACTCATAAAATTACCAAAAATATGATGAATTTTGTGGTTTTGATGTGACAAATTGTAAAACCTTCAGGGAATATGTATGCTGTGTATGTTTTAATCCCTGTGCAACCTGTGCAACCTACATTGCCCTGCAGGAGTGTGACATGGGATCGCAACAACACCTCTGCTACAGGATTTCTCGATGTGGCGAGAGCTCTTGAACAGTAAGAATTTAACAGGAGATTTGTTTGGTAGAGATATGTGGATTGTATGCTAAAATAATTAATAAGAGGTTCTGTTGATTCTATAAAAAAGTGCCTCATTGGAAACCAGACATTAGTATTTGTACCTGTTTGCTATCTCATAAGACTCAGACTCACCCTAGGACCACTGAGGACATGGTTGCACAGATCAAACCATTACTCATTAGTTGCTTGTCAAAGGAGTAATATTCTGGGATGGACTCTGTCAGGGGGGTGTTATCCTTTTGCTAACCTTAAAACCTTTCTGTCAGTTTCATTTTTTTTTCAGTCTTTTTGAGTCATCTTTAATAACTTCACCCCCTTGTGCTCTTCTGCTCCCTCCTTTAGTAATTTTACCTTGCAGTACATGCCTCTGCCCATAAGTGACATTAGCCAGGCATATCGCAGCGCTCCTGAGAAGACAGAGCAAGCCCTCACTAAGGTGTGTCTGAAGGTTGGCTGATGGAAGGAAGACTTCCTAAAGCTTCCTTTAAAATAAGCCAGTTATAGAAAGCTGAATTTATGTTCTTATTCCAACACCTATAGATCGGTTTCTTTTCCATTCAAAAATAAAATTGTGAAATTAACTTTTTTGTTTTAATTTTTTATTAAAGATGTTTATGTTTTAAACTTATAACTTAGATTGCATGCTAATAAATTACATTAAAAAAAAGTTGTGACACATTTAGAGGCACGTACATATTTTTAATCGGCACTTAGCTTTAAAGATCTAAACATCTATTTAGTTATTTATTGTACAAAGGTCACTTAAAAGACTGTTTATATGTATTTTTTTTTCTTCAATCCAGCTTTTATCTATAATCTGTAAAATGACTGAATTAACCTCATTTAATTTTTAACTTACTCTTTTCTGCCTGATTTATCTAACCGTGGTCACATCATGCCACTATGGCTCACAGATTCAGCGTGCTCTGGTCAGGAACAACCAAACACAGCGCTTCTCTCAGAGGCAGGCTCTGCGGCTGCACCAGGGCTTGGTCACTAGCACAGCCGAAAAGGTAGCATCTGTGAGGATGTTGCTGAAGTGTTTCATGAGTGTTTGTACCGCTATCTTAAACCTGCCCTGTTTGTTTCCAAGGTAATGGAGCGCCTTTGTGTGCGGGTCCAGCAACAGGTGTGTTTGTTACGGAGCGTTGGAGAGATGGAGGAGATTCAAGCTGCGAAACTCGTCCTGAAAGAGGCCAGGAACTCTCGAGCTGTGAGTGATATGAAATAAAAAAGTGCACTTTTTATGTTATTTAGTCTGAATTTGAATTAATTATCTCCATGATGTATTTCAAGCTGTACCCTTCATTGTGTGAGCTGGCTCATGTGCTGTCTGTGGACGGGCCCGTGCGGCAGAGACTGGACTCCCTGGCTGGGGAGCTCGCCAAAGCTGCAGATAAAGAGCTGCAGGTAGATCTAAGCGTCTCCTTTCACTTTGTGATCTGTAAGCGATGACAATGTTTGTGACAGCTGCCATTTGTTTCAGGTGATCGTTGACTCCATGGTGTCACTCTGCCGCGAGCTCTGTCCTTTATCATCTTCTGCAGCAGAGAGATTAAGTCCTTCGCTCTCATCTGTCTCAGAGCGAGTGTCCATCCCTCGCTCTGCCATCCGCACTGCCCTCATGGAAAGAGCAGCACAGGATATTCACAGAGCTTTGGAGTAAGAGCCACAAAAAAAGTCTGAATTTGATAAGCATTGGTGTTAATTTCGTTAACGAAAACTAAACGAAAATATTTTCGTCAACGCACATTTTTCACCGAACGAAAACTAGACGAGACGAGACGAAAATTCCCACTAATAAACAATAACTGGGAGTAAATCAGAAATAATTTTCGTGGACTAATAAAGACGAGACGAAAATGCAGTTCTGTAAATTAAGACTGGGCTAAAATCTATGGACATTTTAGTCCATGAACAAAGACGAGCAGAAAATTACATATTATTATTTTATGCTTTTTTCTAATCCTGTCTCCTCCTCCGCCTCAGCTCTTCCGCCACACACACACACCGAAACCTGGAGCGGGCAGCACAGAGTAGCCTACACAACACATGGAGCAGACAGGAGCTGGATTCACAGCGAGGCGGTGACAGGTTAAAAGTAAAACATGCTTTGCCCGGGGTTCGGGAGAAGGAGGAGACTTGATATATGGACACATTTTCGCTTCATTGAAGTGGAGAACAAAACCAAATGCTTGATTTTAGTCGAAAGGAAGGAATGTGGCCACATGGTAGCTGGAAAAAACACAACAAACCTGAAGAGACACTTCGCAGTTCACCACAAAGACATTACGGTAAGTTAACAGAAAGATTGGTGGTGGTTATTTATAATGTAACATTAAGTCAACGGCTATAATGTCCCAATGATAAACTAACTAATGTTGGCTAACTTTCATAGCATTTAGTATCCAGGCTGGCTACGTTACATTAGCTTCTTAGCACGTAGCGACCGTAGCCACTTGTTGATAGAATTGTATGCGAAATTAGATTTATGCTAACTTAGATATGTTATACTGGCCGGGCAACTATAGTTTCAGTTAAATTGCAAGTTTGATTAAAGCAGACAGACACTTTAGGTAATCTAGGAGCTGCAAGTGAACAAAAGTTAACACAAAACACCTCGGCAGCTACACATGTATGCTAAATGCTAAAACGAACTGAAACAATTTATCAGGATAAGACAAAATAAAAATAATATGCCACACATAATGCAGAACAACTTTAACCTAGATTTTCATGCACAAAATAGCCATTGCTAGGGTAATCACTGCAGGGATTGGGATGCAAACTCCCAATGTCTTTATTTGGTGACATAAAATGCTGCTCTGTTTATCTGCATGTTACTATTATAAGGACATTTGATTTGAATTGGCATCAATATTAATACAACCAAAATGCATGCACACATAAAAATTTCTGCAATTTATTCCTGCATAAAATGATAGTTAGGTTGTTTGTGTTGTGCAAAAATAATGTCCTGCAGATAATGAAGGCACCTTGTCTCCCCCTGGTGGTGGCTTCTGAAATTGCAGCTTAATGGTGTAGAGAAGGAGTGACTTGGTTTTTTTTTGTATTTAAAATACAAAAAAATACACCTGGTCTATTTTAGCAGTAGTAGCGTTTTTAGCTGTTTAATTAAAAGCAGTCTGGATGATTTATCTGTTATTCATATAACGGAAGTTTCAGTCTCAGGCCCACCCAGGGACGCCAATATGGTGTGCAGAAATAATGTCCTGCAGATAATGAATAGATGTGTCATGATGGGTTTCAGGGTGCTAGCCCATATGCAAAACCAGGAGGCAGGGAAAAAGTTCAAAGGTTTAATGAATAATGTGAACAAAACAGGTCTGGGGGTTATCTGGTTCAGGGCAGGTCACGACTGGGTAACTGTTCAGGAGGTAGAGCAGAGCGGCAGAAGGGGGAACCAGGAGGGTTCACGGGCTGGCGGCAGGCTGTGAGCTTGGAGGAGGCAGAGCTTGGTTAGAGTCTGCAGATCACCAGGTTTGAGTTTCTCTTCCTGATTCTTCAGGGGGCAGGCTAGCAGATCTTTGGCAGGTTTGGTTCTTCAGGGTTCTCCTGAAGTCAGACGGATAGATCTCCAACAGATGGAATCTCCAGGGGTTTCTGGTTACGGGCAGGTTCAACCGAGACTGACTAACACTCTGGCACAGGAGTGTGGTCCTCAGCCCACTTAAATGCTGGTCTCCTGATGAGCAGATGAAGAACAGCTGGTGAAGTCAGCTCCAGCCTCAGGAGATCCAGTATGCCCTCTGGTGGAGAAAAGGTAGACAGAACCCCAGATCCCAACAATAACACAAAAATCCCCAGGAAGGGATCCTCGGCGCCCTAGGTGGGCAAGCCTCAGGATCCCAACAAGATGGTTAACTAGAACTGGAGTTATAGTTAATTATTCATCCTATTCCACATCAAAGGCAAAATCAATTTAGTGTTCTTAGGTGGATAATTGTAGCCTTGAATTTTCTACTTACCGGGTTGCGGATCCACCTCTGGAGGGTTCCTGGACCGGCTGTTAAAATCCAGGTATCCACTAGTCTAGTGGCCCAGGTTAAGTTATCAGCAAAGCTATTAAATTATCAATAAAGAACCTTCTATCTCTGTTTATTCGCACTATTACCAAAAGGGGCTGGATTCGCACTGAGTGATAAACCCTCCGTTATATGAACGACCAAAACCACTACAAATTAACCAATGATGTCTTCATTCTAATAAATCAGGATTACAGAAAATCTAACATCTATGCAAACACTACTCTCTACTAGAAAAATAAACACGAGGTAGATTAAATGACTAGTTTAAAAGAAAAATCGAAAATAAAGAATAAAACGAGATAGAAAACAAAGAAATAAAACCATAAGAGTCCGATACTGGCGTCTGAGATTGTCCACAATATGCCAGATATTAATACATTCACTAGTGTCCGTTAGCAGCAGGTATGATGATAACAGTGCAATTACTCATGTAAAACTAATACATCCAACCTAAAATCAGCAAATGATTAATTGCATTAACCAACAGCAGCAGGTATTATGATAACAGTGCAATTGATCATGTAACATTAACACATCCAGCTTAGTATTGATAAAATTATTAAAAATGTATTAACAATAGTAGCAGAAATCGTTCAGCAAAACCCCTTTGCCTGACAATGTAGCGGTGTGTGAATGGGTGTAGCTAAATGAGGGACCTCCCCCCTTTGTTCTCCTTTGTGGTGAGAGGAACAAAGAGAAATGGGGGGAAGGACAATCTGTAATCAAGATGGCGGCAACCACGGGATCCCACATGGCTGAATGTGATAACTTTATAACTATCTCAAAACAGAAACAACAAAGAGGACAGGAAAGCACAGAAAGAGCATAAAGAAACACACACTTATTTCAACCAAATGAATAAACTCTTAATCAGCACAGATTAAAAAAACATCAGCATTAATTCAAAACCCTGAACCTACCTGTCTCTCACCTGAGCAGCACTTCGAATGTATCAAAAATGAAAGAAAATTGATTTTACTGTGAGATGCTTCGCCGTCCGTGGAAGATTGGCGTTTCCAAGGCAACCGCGGCTTGGTTTCGGCTGCGCAGAGGGTTCTTCGGCACCGATCCACCCCTCGGGAAAGTTCAGTCAGTTCGGTGCTACCGCAGAGGGCTTGATATGCTCACGAGTTGAAGAGGATGGATTTTGAGGAAGTAATCGGCAAAAGAGCGTCCTCTCAGCCAATTCATCCAAAGAAAGGGGAAAACGAAACTCACTTCCAGTCAGCTTTCTTCTGGTATTTCACGTGAAACGAGTCTCTCCTGGCGGGCTCCAAACCCATGGAAAAAGAGGCAGAGAAATGTCTGCTGCTGGGTCTTAAACCATGGGTGACACTGGAGCACTTCCTGTGGAAGTATCGGCTGATTGGTCTGTGCCATGAGTGGCATGGGGGGACTTCCTGTTGGAGTGTTCTCCTTTTTGGCGGGAATCCTTTGTTCTCCTTTGTGGAGAAAAGAAGGGGGTGGTTTCAGATGGTTTCTCCAACTGATTTTCGGCAATATATCCCAACATTTGTATGAGTTTGAAATGGATTGTCAAATGCAGTTTTACAGAGACTTAGTTTTTGTTAAGGAAAAAAACAGACCTACATGCTACTTATACACTTGGAATTCCTGTTATGCTGTGCATCTATCCTGATATTGTATTAATTTCTGTTCCAGATTGAAGATACACCACCCACCAACAACCACCTAGAAACAATGACAGGCCAGCTATACAAGCTTCCTTAATTTCTCACACAAATACAAAGCTGACTCTCAGGACCAGCAAGCTATGCCTTTTTTCATCGTAAATACTATACCTTTATATACCATGTGAACTAGCTGGTAGGAAAGCACTTCTGTTGTATCAATTGGAGTTTTTTTTCACAGAATTGACCTCAAATCTATTTATTTTATTATTCTATGTGAACTAGCTTTAAACAGCCAGCATTTGTGTTAAGTTCATAAGACACTTTTTTTTATTTATTTGTTTTTTTTATCAGGTGTATTTTTTGTTTTAATGAAAGCATTTGTGTTTGTGTCTTTGAACCTAAACAATGTTCAAAATAAATATGCAAATATTGTCAGAACATCTCCCATGTCTGCATGTGTTCCTTAAAATTGTGTTTTTTTTATCAAAAAGATGAGAAAATGTTGAAATGTGAAATAATTTTAGGAAATGTGAAATATTATCTGCTGACAAAAAAGTAAAAGGTAAAATTATGTCCTGACTAAAACTAGACTAAAATGTTGACAGTACTAAAACTAAACGAATAAAATTATATTTTCTTGGACTAAAATAAAGACTAAAATGCTTGACTTATAGTCGACTAAAACTAGACTAAATAAAAATGGCATGATGTCGACTCAATGTGATAAAAACTAACAAGCGATGCTGAAACTGGACAAAAACTCAAACTACATTTAAAAATGGCATGTAAAATTAACACTAATAAGCATGATGTTGGTTTCCTCTCACTTTTAATGACCTCTTTCTACCATTTTCTTCTTTAGAGAAGTAAAGCTGTCTGTGGTTTCCTATCTCACCAACTCCATTGTGGACCAAATCCTGCAAGAGCTCTATGCTACCCACAAGACCCTGGTAAACACTTACTCCTGACATGAAAGGGTGTGAAAGTGACAGTGATTGATTGTATGAGTGGGTGACAAAGAGTTTAAGAGTGCTGTGTGTCTCAGACCAGGCAGGTGTCTCATCTAAAATGCTGGGAGGGAACATGTGAAGATGGGACTGCGTGGAGTTTTAACAGACACACAGACTCTTTGGATATCACAGATGAAGAGCTCGGCGCCAGCATTGTGAGTGTGAACATTGTGTGTTGCTGTGGATGTATGTGTGTGTTTTTGCCATTTTTATCTTTCTGCAAATGTTTCATACCTATGTAAAACACCATCAAATATTTATTTCCCTATATATAATATTTATTAAAACCTTTTTTTTTTCTTTTATCAGTCTTGTGGCTGATTGTAGAAAACCCAAATGTGTTAAATTTCCAGCGTCAGTGAGGCATGTTAAAAGTACAGTGTTATTTTAACTTTATCTAGTCTTATTCTAATTTGAGATTATTCAACTAAGCGAGAGTTAATTCCTCTTAAGAGTTGGTGTTAATCTCTAGAATTGAATTTAAAAAATTTCCCCCAGAACTCTAACCTCTCTGTGAACTCTTAAAAATGCAGGCACTAACCACAACAGTAGTGGATTTTGGAGTTGTGACGTATGATGCAAAAGTTTGTCCTAAAAACTGGAAGGTGGCTGGTTTAAATCTTTTCTCAGTCATTGATTGTGTCCTTGGGCAAGACACTTCACCTGCATTGGACACTCATGTTGAGAAAGCCGCTTGGTAACTGTGTAACCCTCACTTCTGCCGGTGTGCCCCAGGGCGGCAGTGGCTATAGCGTAGCTTACAAACTATGATTAGTGAATGATTAACACTAACTTTTGACACTAGTGTTATATAAATTCAACCTCAATGATTGTTGAAGTCCAACTATTAAGAGTGTTTTTTCAACAGTTAAGTGTTTTAAGACTTTTCAAAGTGTCATTACAACTTGATTTAGTGTGGATCAATATAGAGACCTTTAGTGTTACTTTTGCTTCCATAGGATTTGATTTATCACTTCCAAATCTGCTGTGCAGCTGACTTTGCTTTCTCCTTAGGAATTATAAAAAATAAAACCTATATAGTACACAAATCTTTTTTAATATTCTCTTACTGGCCTCTTGTTACTGTGAATGTTTTTGTTTCATGTGAAACTCTCTCTACTGTACGTTGCATCAAACCATCTAATGCAGTTGAATTTTTTATTGGTTCAAATTATACATGCTTTTATCATTGTAGTCCAGTGGATATAAAACATAGTCACACAGGGACACCCCTTTAGTGGCCTATCCTTACCCCCAGTGCTTTGTTTGCACAGGCAATGGGCATTTCTGAGGTAAAAATTAAGTGTGTTAAATTTCCTGTGTTTTTATTTTGAAAGTACAGTGTTAATTCAGGACTTGTTTAGTCCAATTTGGACTGCAAAAGCTAGTTTATACAACAAGTCGTTCAACTTAAGCAACATCATTACTTACAGTTAGTGTTCATTCTTGTCACGGTCTACAGGCACGAATGGACAAAACAGAGCAGTAGGCACAGTTAGAATGTTTATTTTACTCTTGATCAGACAGGCAAGGGTCAGATCCGTGAAACCAGTCAGAGTTTAGGGCAATCCTTGAATCAGTGGTCGGGCAGGCAGGAGGTCGTCACCAGGGAATCCAAGATAACAGACGAGGGTGACGGTCCAGATAATCAGACGAGACACTGCACTGAAAAAAAAATAGAGGTTGACAGAACTTACATTTTCTAGGCAACGTGATGCATTTGGTTTTTTGAGTTTTCCTTACTTAAATTCACTGTGGTTGAGTTTACAAAGATTTTTGAGTTCTGCCAACTTAGGTTTTTGGAGTGTTACATAGAAATTTTGAGTTCTACTAACTTAGGTTTTTTAGTTTTACTCATACATTTTGAGTTCTACTAACTTAGGTTTTTTAGTTTTACTCATATATTTTGAGTTCTACTAACTTAGGTTTTTTAGTTTTACTCATATATTTTGAGTTCTACTAACTTAGGTTTTTTAGTTTTACTCATACATTTTGAGTTCTACTAACTTAGTTTTTTTAGTTTTACTCATACATTTTGAGTTCTACTAACTTAGGTTTTTTAGTTTTACTCATATATTTTGAGTTCTACTAACTTAGGTTTTTTAGTTTTACTCATATATTTTGAGTTCTACTAACTTAGGTTTTTTAGTTTTACTCATACATTTTGAGTTCCACTAACTTAGTTTTTTCAGTTTCACCTTTAAGTTCTGAGTTCTATCAACTTTGTTTTATGAGTTTGAAATATAGATTTTGAGTTCTACAAACTCAGATTTTGTAGTGTTATCTGTAAGTTGAGTTCTATCAACTCACTACCCATCATTCAACACACAAAAAATTTTGTTAATACAAAATTTTTATTGCACTATATCAACAGATACAAACAAACCACATGTTGAACTGCTATGGGGAGAGCACAGAAGAGCTTGGCGCCCTGAGAACTGAGCTTCTTGAGAACTGCTCTTCTGTCTATCTGTGTGTGGGGTGAGAGAACAGTGAGAGAACAGTGTGTACAGTATATGAGAGCTATGCTGGCGAGCAGAGTAGCAGGTGTGTGTTCACATTGGTAATGGAACCTAACAAGCTGTTATATATAGAGATACAAAACAACAACAACAAGATAAACCACATATATTAGAAAAATATACCCACAATGAACTCAGTGAATTTTCTTAGCTTCTAGAAGAAAGCACAGAGGAGCTTAGTGCCCTGTGAACTGAGCTTCTTGAGAACTGCTCTTCTGTCTGTCTGTGTGTGGGGTGAGAGAACAGTGAGAGAACAGTGTGTACAGTATATGAGAGCTATGCTGGCGAGCAGAGTAGCAGGTGTGTGTTCACATTGGTAATGGAACCTAACAAGCTGTTATATATAGAGATACAAAACAACAACAACAACAACATAAACCACATATATTAGAAAAATATACCCACAATGAACTCAGTGAATTTTCTTAGCTTCTAGAAGAAAGCACAGAGGAGCTTAGTGCCCTGTGAACTGAGCTTCTTAAGAACTGCTCCTTTCCTCTCTGTGTGCTTGTGCAGCATGCTTGTTCTTGGAGAAGTTTTCTGGAGAACAATGTGTGTGTACAGACCTATTCATGTAGTGGTTAGCAAAGAGCTATATGTGTGTGTGTGTTCATGGAGAAGTTGTTGGAGAACAATGTGTGTGTACAGGCCTGTTAATGTGGTAGTCGGCAAAGAAGAGCTTTGTGTGTGTGTTCATGCAGGAGTTATGACAAAGCTGTGTGTGAGTGCATGCGTGTTGATGTCCAGGTGAGTGTCAATCATACACAGGCTTCACAGCAACAGCTTCTCTTTCAAGGATCGCGTGCGCTGTGAGCATCTTGATCCAAGTTCGAAAAAGATGTTCTGGATAGCCTCGAAGGTGTACCTCATCTGCTCTGGATAGTTTATGTCCATTGCGTACAAAAGGCCAAACAGGCAGGCGAAGGCAGCTGCGAGGTCAGGTAAGTTGTGTAGTATTACTGCCCCTTCCAAGACGATGGCGATGTCAGTCACTGTTGTCCATGCGGCAGCATCATCATCTACATAGACGGTCAGTATTGCAACGGGCACTCCTGCAACTACCGATTCTTCAGGGTCTGTGTCCTGATGGTAAAAATCAGACACAGCGACATCTTTTAGCGATAGACACCCTGAACAGTTGCTGTCACCCATTAAAGAACACATATCCTTTTTTAGTTGTTTACACACATTTATCAAAAGACTCCCAGCCAACTTTTCCCCATCTCGGGGGAATATTAAAAAAGGCAACGCAAAACTATAGTAATCACACCAAAAATTGCTCTTGATTTACCACACACTTCAATGAACTGGAGCTCGTCACGAACAAAAAGGGGAAAGGGCCTTTTCAGGCTGCTGCCCTTCCCTGACGCACAATGTCTGTTGCTGTAACATGTGCCACAAACAAACACATTGTAACGCAGCAAGATGATCAAAAAAGAATTCTTAAACAGCAAAGTAAATGTTTGTTTTTTAAAGTTTTTAAAAGCGATAGTTCGGTATTTTTACATAATCTGTATGGCATCCCCTCACCAGGGCATGCAATCACACTACTTACCCCGGGCAGCGTCCTGTGAGCAGATTTATCGTCCAGTTTGGTAAAGCCAAAAGTAGTCCTGCAGGTTTTTAGGAACAGCGAAATAAAATTTTTTCTCTTCCCAAAACATTAGTGTTCAAAAGAGCGAATTTTCGCATCCCAAAAACTTTGTAGTGGAAAAAGTCCACGTTGTTATAAATTTGGTCCTATTTTCCTCTTTTTCTATCGTGCGCCCCCGTCATTCAAAACAGCGACCCAACAACGCCATGCCCTCCCTCCGCCGGGGAAAGGGAACAGGCGTTTTTGGGGCTCGCTTCTGAATGACGGCGCGCACTGAACAAACAGAGAGAAAATGGGGCCCAATTGATAACGACGGGGACTTTTCCACTAAAAATTTTTTTTTTTGGGATCAAAAATATCGCTCTTTTAACACACAATGTTTGGGAGAAGAAACGTTTTATTTCGCTGGCTCAAAAAAACCTGTCGACTACTTTCGGCTTGCCAAAACGGGACGATAACTCTGCTCACAGACCTGCCGGGGGGAAAGTCAGGTGTTGCAGCCGTGGAGGGGGGGATGCCATACGATTCATGCAAAAATATCGAACTATCCCTTTAAAGTCATTTTTGTATTTGCATGTAGTTTAGTTTGGGGCACTTTACCCACCTCTTCATCAAGTTTATTCAGCAACATCTCCATATCTGGACCAAAAGCTGCTTTTCTGGCTCGGTACAGTTTTATCAGGCGAGGTACATAGTTGTCGAGGGATGCATTCCAGGTTGCCCAGAGGTCTCTGCTGGTGATTCGATAAAATTCTTCAGATATCTGGACACAAGCAACAAAACAGTCTTTAATTATAATATCCATGTCAGGGCTTAATGTGGTAGTCATGCCAGCCTAAAGCAACAGGAATGAGCAATAGTACACAAATACACAAGGAAATCCATACCTCCTCATGAGAAAACAGTGCAGGCCATCGTTCTTGGACTTCTGACACCATAGGCTGCACTTCTACGATTTCTCTCCGACGATGGGAGAAAGTCAGTTCCATCTTCTGCCTAATCAGACCCATGTTCCTTTTCCTTTTCTTCATTTCTTCAA